GATCTACCGGGGGGGGGGACCTGGCACAAGGAAGAGTGGTGGCGGAGGGAGGGATGGAGTGCGGTAGGGGAAGAGACGGTAGTAGGGAACCGACTCGTCGAACGTGACGTCCTGGGAGGACAGAACACGGCGAGAGGTGGGGTGGTAGAACTGCCACCCAGGCGCGTCAGGGGGGAAACCCAGGAAGACGCAGGGAGCAGCACGAGGGGACAGCTTGTCCGCAGACAAGTCGCGGACAAACGCCCAAGATCCCCAGACACGGAACGCAGACGCATCGCCAACCTTCCCCGTCCACAGCAAAGCTGGGGAGGTCTCCAGCATGGAGACCCTGGGCTGAAGGTTGATCTGATGCGCCGCGTACCGGACCGCAAACGGCCACAGAAAATGGGGGGCAGCGGCATGCATCATGGACGTACGGGCGACGTCCATGACCATGCCAATGCGGCGCTCAGCAATCCCATTTTGCTGTGGAGGGTCCGGAAGCGTGAAGGTCTTGCGGATGCCTCGTGCACGACAGTAGGCTCGCAGAAGGCCGGAGGAGAATTCTCCGCCTCTGTCAGAGTGCAGACGCAGAACAGGAAAGTCCGAGCCGAAGCTCCGCCTGAGCTGGAGACGAGCTGCGCGGATCCAGTCGATCAACACCTCAGTGAGATCACCCTTGCTGCGCAAGGGGAAGACTGTGGTGTAACGCGAGTAGTCGTCAACCACCAGCAGGAAGTAGCGCTCGTGACCCTGTCCACGGACGCGGGCCGGGCCCCACACATCCACGTGAAGCGTTTGCAGCGGGGCCTCTGTCGGAGGAAATTGAGAGGAGTGAGGGGCAGCCCGCTGCTGCCCCTCGACACAGGGGACGCAGGTAGGGCCAGGCCCCGGAGGAAGGGGAGGGAGGGACCGGGGAAGACCAGAGACAAGGACACGGGAGGCCATGCTTCGGAGACGAAGCAAGGAGGGGTGACCAAGGCGGTGGTGCTAGAGGAGAGTCTGGTGAGACAGGAGACGACACGAGCAGGGGGCAGACTCAAGACCAGACCTGGACGCTGCAGCAAACACCTGACCCGACGCAGCTACCTGACCAGACGCAGTGACTGGAGGAGACGAAGTGGTCAGCGTGTACAGGCTCGACCCCGGCCGACGTGTAAACGTGGCCAGGTGTCGGCCTGTCCGAGCGTCCGTGCAGTGGGTCACCCGCTGACTCGCAGGAGTGAACTGGTCAACCCCTGCATCCTGTAGGTCAGCACCACTCACTAAGTTCGTAGAGAACGAGGGGAGGCAAAGACCAGACAAGGTGCCAGAGGGGGCCGCCGGACAAGGGAGGACAGTGGAGAAGTGAGCAAGGACAGGACCCCCAGAGGGGTCTGCCAGAGAGACTGCAACTGGCCGACCAAGCGGCGTGAGTGTGGTGCGGTCTCGAAAGAAGGAGCGGGAAGCCCCCGAGTCAAGAGTGAAGGTGTGAGAGGCCGGAGCCGACGCGGTACCTGAGAGAGCAGACTCACCCGCACCTGAGGAAGCAGACTCACTAGCACTTAGAGCAGCAGCCGCACCTGTACCTGGAGCAGGAGACTCACTAGCACCCAGAGCAGCAGCCTCACCAGCAGCTAGAGCAGCAGGCTCTATACCCGGGTCAGGCGGTACGCACAAGTGACCGGCACGGTCAGCACTAGTAGGCAATGCATACATGGCAGTGAGAATAGTATCATAGTCAAGAGCAAATATATCTACCCTCTGCCTAAGCAACTCCACCGAGTCGGGGAGCTCAGCCTCGTCGCCAAACTCGGTACGCTAGGCGTCGCTCAGACAGGCGAAGCAGCGGGACTGTGTGTGACTAGGTGTCCCACAAGGCTGACCAGTCCGAGCACCAGTGCGAATCACGTAAGAGCACCGAACAGAACTGAGAGACCCTCTACTCTGAGCGTACCACTCACAAAGCTGCTGGGGCGTGAGAGACGCGCGTGGGCGTCGCTGGAGCTGCATCTGGCCGCCGACAGTAGTAGTAGCAGCAGTAGTGGTAGTAGTAGCAGCGCCGCCACCCCTACAACCCCAACCAGCGTACCACTCACGCAGCTGCTGGGGCGTGAGGGACTCACGCGGACGTCGCTGGGGCTGCATCTGGCTCCGCCAGTAGAAGCAGGAGCAGGAGTAGCAGTAGTAAGGCAGGCAGCCAGGCAGGCCGAAAGGCAGGCAGGCAGGTAAGCAAGCGGCGGTCAGCGCGCTAGCAAGGCAAGGGCTCACCAGTGGTGGGAAGAGCAGGCTCGGCGACTCGGCGACTCGGCAACTCAGCGGTGCGGGCGGCTCGGGCGGCGCGGCCGCACGGCGACTCGGCACGTACTGCGGCTCGGTGGCTCGGGCGACTCGGGCGGCTTGGCGGCAACTGCGGCTCGGCGACTCGGCGGCTCGGGCGGGTCAGGTGGCGCTGCGGCTCGGGCGGCTCGGTAGCAGCTCGGCGGCGCCGGCGGCTCGGTGGTGACGGCGGGGCCGCTTGGGGACGGCGGCGGGGCCGGGTGGAGCGGCGACGGGGCCAGCAGAGGTGGCGCCGGGGCCGCAGGGTAGGTGACGGGGCCAGCAGAGGCGGCGCTGGGGCCGGGAAGGGCGGCGCCGGGGCCGCAGAGGTAGGCGACGGGGCCAGTAGAGGCGGCGCCGGGGCCGGTAAGGGCGGCGTAAGGGCCAGCAGAGGTGGTGCCGGGGCCGGGAAGGGCAGCGGCGGGGCCGCAGGGGTAGGCGACGGGGCCAGCAGAGGCGGGGCCGGGTCGGGAAGGGCGGCGTCGGGGTCGCCGGGGTAGGCAACGGGGCCAGCCGAGGTGGCGCCGGGGTCAGGAAGGGCAGAGCCGGGGCCGCAGGGGTAGGCGACGGGGCCAGCAGAGGCGGGGCCGGGTCGGGAAGGGCAGCGTCGGGGTTGCCGGGGTAGGCGACGGGGCCAGCCGAGGTGGCGCCGGGGCCAGGAAGGGCGGAGCCGGGGCCGGGATGGGCGGCGCCGGGGCCGCAGGGGTAGGTGACGGGGCCGCTAGGGCGGCGGATCGGGGCCGCGAGGGCGGCGCGACGCGGCCGCTAGGGCGGCGCGACGAGATGGGGCCGCGACGGGGTAGCGGGGAGTGGCGCGCCTAGTAGGAACGGGGCCGCGCGCCTCGGGGCGCGCGCCAGAGAGAAAATCGCCGCGCGCCAAAAATAGGTTTCATGCTACGGGGCGTACGACAGATCTAGTAGCAGCGGAAGCAGTAGTAGGGCCCACAGGCCAGGAGCATATGTGCTCTGAAACCATGTGAGAATGAACGAGAATGAATGCAGTATGAAAGAGTTGGGTACAAGTACTAACCCTAATTGGGTTGTACCCCATATAGGCTACCCCACTACAACCTACAAAAAAGCATAAGCTATAATGTTCTGATATATCCTTGCACATTTTTCACTTCACGATTGTTCGAAACACCATATCTTCCTTCTTGATGCTGCGAATGGCACCAAATATGTCCAGCATTCTTGTAAATATATGAATGAACAAGAGAAACCTTGTCTTGAGTAGGAAACGGACGTCGAATCAATGCCTCGTGACGCACAGGCCCGTCCTTATTCACTTTTCCCTGCAAGATTGTTCGAAACACCATATCTTCCTTTCCAGATGCTGCAAATGGCACCAAATTAGTCCAGCTGTGTCAAACTTATATGCTATAGTCTATGTAGGCTGTAGTGGGGTAGACAATATGGGGTACAACACTTTTAGGTTTTCCTACTTGTACCCACCTGTTTCCCGGTGTATCCACTTCCTCGTTCTTTCACATGGTATAGAGCAGGTTCCCTAGTGGGAACGTTTTCTAGGGCCCACCACGATCTATTTTTTTTTTCCTGCCCGGAGCGCGCTTCGCTCCTGCCCGAGTCGCGCCCCGTGTGCCTGCCCTCCCGTCGCGTCCCCTGCCCTTCACGGCCCCGTCGCCGCCCTTCGCGGCCCTGTCGCCGCCCTTCACGGCCCCGTCGCCGCCCTTCGCGGCCCCTCCCGGCCCCGTCTCGGCCCCGTCGCCGCCCTTCGCGGCCCCTCACGGCCCCGTCTCGGCCCCGTCGCCGCCCTTCGCGGCCCCTCACGGCCCCGTCTCGGCCCCTCACGGCCCCGTCTCGGCCCCGTCGCAGCCCTTCGTGGCCCCTCACGGCCCCTTCTCGGCCCCGTCGCCACCCTTCGCGGCCCCTCACGGCCCCTTCACAGCCCCTTCACCGCCCTTAGTGGCCCCTTCTCGGCTCCTCCGCAGCCCCTTCTCGGCTCTCTCACGGACCTGCCGCCCCGCCGTCGCCGCCCCTGCAGCAGCAGCCGTCGCCGCCCCTGCAGCAGCAACCGTCGCCGCCCCTGCAACGGGAGCCGCCACCGCCGATGCCGCCGACAGCAGCAGCCGCCGCCGCCACTACCGGGGCCGCAGCCGCCGCAGCCGCCGACAGCAGGAGCCGCCGCCGCCACAGCCAGGGCCGCAGCCGCCGCAGCCGCCGACAGCAGCAGCCGCTGCCGCCGCTGCCGCCACTGCCGGGGCCGCAGCCGCCGCAACCGCCGACAGCAGCAGCCGCCGCCGCCACAGCCGGGGCCGCAGCCGCCGCAGCCGGCGGCAGCAGCACACGCCGCCGCCACAGCCAAGGCCGCAGCCGCCGACAGCAGCAGCCGCCGCCGCCACAACCAGGGCCGCAGCCGCCGACAGCAGCAGCCGCCGCCGCCACAATCGGGGCCGCAGCCGCCGCAGCCGCCGACAGCAGTAGCCGCTGCCGCCACTGCCGGGGCCGCAGCCATCGCAGCCGCCGACTGCAGCCGCCGCCGCCGCCGACAGCAGGGGCCGCTGCCGCCGTCCCGGCCCTGCCCTGCAGAGAGGAGCGGCAGTCCTCTGCCGCCCTGTAGCGGCTCCGTCCCTGCCGGCGCGCCTCGGCTCTGCCCCACCACTTGCGGACCTCTACCCACCTGCCCTGGTAAGAGCACCGCCGAGCCGCGCCCCTACTGTTGCTACTGCTGCTGCTGCCCCTAGCCTTCTACCACTGCTGTCATGGCTACCCCTAGCGTTCTCGTCTTTGATGCTGAGGGTCGGGCTGTTGACTTTGAGGTCTGGGTCGATGATCTACAGCTTTTCCTACAGTGCGATAGGAAAGGCGGTCTCTCACTGTTCGATCTCACGTCAGGCGCCTCTGCTGCCCCTGCTGCTGATGCTAACAGCACTGTTCGCTCACAAAGGGCCACACGCGATACTGCTGCCCGTCTTGCTGTGCGTAGTCACTTGCCGTTCTCTGAGCGCGCGCACTTCAGTCAGTACAAGAGTGCTAGGACCTTGTACGACGCTGTAGTCACACGCTACTCTTCCCCTGCCACTGCTGCCCTTAGCCGCCTCATGCTGCCGTACCTGTTCCCTGACCTCGCCGCCTTTCCCACAGTCGCTGACCTCATTACGCACCTTCGCACTAGTGACACCCGCTACCGCGCTGCGCTTCCTGCTGAGTTCTGTGCCAAGAACCCCCCCCCCATGTACATCACCCTCTACTACATAGTCACCCGGCTCCCTGACTCCCTTCCCTCGGTCAGGGACCACTTCCTCTCTGTTTGCCCCACCACACTCACCGTTGACCTCCTCGAGGAGCGCCTCCTGGCAGCTGAGAAGAGTATAGTCGCTGTAGGAGCCTCTCGTGGTGACCCTCGTGCCCCCTTCTTTGAGGGGTGCTCCCCCTCCCCCCTTTAACCCTCTGTTGCCTCTGCTGCTGCCGTCGACTTCGTTGGCACCGAGTCGGTCGGCGCTGCGTCTGCCCCTAGCGGGAGACGCCGCACCGGCAAGGGCAAGGGGGGCAAGGGCGCTGGAGGGGCTGGCGGGGGCGGTGGAGGTGGCGGTGGAGGCGGCGGAGGGAGTGGTGGTGGCGGTGGGAGTGGTGGCGGGGGTGGGGGCTTCGGTGGCGGCGGTGGAGGCGGAGGCGGCGGCGGCGGTGGCGGTGGGAGCGGAGGAGGAGGCGGTGGCGGCGGTGGCGGAGGTGGCGGCGGCGGAGGTGGAGCTGGTCGGGGTGGCTCCGCGCAGCGGAGCGGCTTCGGTGGTGGTCAGCGCCAGCAGTAGCAGCGCACTCGTGAGACCCCGCCCCCCCCAGCAGCTTCGTGAGTGGTACGCTGCGCGTCAGCAGGGTGGGGGTGCTGGTCCTTGTGCCTACGTCTTGCGTACCGACGACCGCACTGGTGAGCCGTGCGGTGGCCTGCACACCACCCAGCGCTGCTTCGGCCGCCTGACGGACGCTTGGCGTCTCCAGTTTCCTGACGCCACTGAGATCCCCCGCTGGGGCGAGCTGCTTCGGTCGGGGGTTGCTATCTTTGATCTGGATTATGATGCTATTCTTGCTGCCATGTATGTTGTGTCTACTAGTGATGAGGGTGACTGTTACCTGTGTGTTCCGCTTAACCCGGGCATTGAGGCTGCTGCTCTAGGTGCTGGTGAGGCTGCTGCTCTAGGTGCTAGTGCGTCTGCTGCCCCAGGTACTGTCTTACCGTGTCCGGCGGCCCCCTCTGGCACCCTGTCAGGTCTCTACCTCCCCTCGTTCTCTACGAACTTGGTGAGTGGTGCTGATCTACAGGATGGGGGGGTTGACCAGTTCACTCCTGCGAGTCAGCGGGTGACCCACTGTACGTGTGCTCGGACAGGCCGACACTTGGCCACGTTTACCCGTCAGCCGGGGTCGAGCCTGTATACACTGACTACTTAGTCTCCTCCGGTTGCTGAGTCTGGTCAGGTAGCTGCGTCGGGTCAGGTGTTTGCTGCAGCATCTAGGTCTGGTCCTGAGTCTGCTCCCTGCTCGTGTCGTCTCCTGTCCCACCGGACTCTCCTCTAGCACCACCGCCTTGGTCACCCCTCCCTGCCTCGTCTCTGAGGCATGGCCTCCCGTTACCTTGTCTCTGGTCTCCCCCGGTCCCTCCCTCCCCTCCCTGCCCCTACTTGCGTTCCCTCCGTCGAGGGGCGGCAGCGCGCCGCCCCTCACTCCTCCGAGTTTCCTCCGACAGAGGCTCCGCTGCAGACTCTTCACATGGACGTGTGGGGCCCCGCCCGCGTCCGTGGACAGGGTCACGAGCGTTACTTCCTGTTGGTGGTTGACGACTACTCGCGTTACACCACGGTGTTCCCCTTGCGTAGCAAGGGTGACGTCACTGAGGTGTTGATCGAATGGATCCGCGCAGCTTGTCTCCAGCTCAGAGAGAGTTTCGGCTCGGACTTTCCTGTTCTGCGTCTGCACTCTGACAGAGGTGGGGAGTTTTCCTCTGGCCTTCTGGAAGCCTTTTGTTATGCACAGGGCATCCGCCAGACGTTCACGCTTCTGGCCTCTCCACAGCAAAATGGGATTGCTGAGCGCCGTATTGGCATGGTCATGGATGTCGCTCGTACGTCCATGATCCATGCGGCTGCTCCCCATTTTCTGTGGTCGTTTGCGGTTCGGTACGCAGCGCATCAGACCCGGGTCTCCTTGCCTGAGACCTCCCTCACCTTGCGGTGGACGGGGAAGGTTGGCGATGCATCTACGTTTCGTGTCTGGGGATCTCGGGCGTTTGTCCGCGACTTGTCTGCGGACAAGCTGTCCCCCCGTGCTGTTCCCTGCGTCTTCTTTGGCTTCCCCCCTGACGCGCCTGGGTGGCAATTTTACCACCCCACCTCGCGACGTGTTCTGTCCTCCAAGGACGTCACCTTTGACGAGTAGGTTCCTTACTACCGTCTCTTCCTCTACCGCACTGCGGCCCTCCCCCAGCCGCCGCTCTTCCTTGCGCCAGGTCCCCCCCCGGTAGACCCTCTCCCCCCTCAGGGTCCTGCCCTGTCAGATGTGTCCCAGGTAGACGCAGTCGAGCCTGTCGAGGTAGCTGTTGACTCTGGTGCTGCTAGGGGTGCTGAGCCTGCGGGTACGGGGTCTGGGGGTGCTGAGCCTGGGGGTGCTGAGCCTGGGGGTGCGGAGCCTGGGGGTGCGGAGCCTGGGGGTGCTGAGCCTGGGGATGCTTAGCCTGGGGGTGCTCAGTCTGCTCGTGTGGCCTCTGGCGGTGCTGGGTCTGGGGGTCCTTTGGGTGCTTCTTCTCGGCGGGAGCTACCCTCTCCAGAGGAGCTGCGTGAGTGGTTTGCCCGGCGCTGGAGCCGTGCTGCTGGAGCTGGAGGTGCTACTGTTGCTGCTGACCCTGGGGTCGGCGCTAGAGGTACTGGAGCCACTGGTCCTGGAGGTGCTAGAGCTGCTGGGATTGCGGGTTGCTGCTGTGGCTGCTGGAGTTGGTCCTGTTGGAGGTGCTGCTGGTGCTGCTGGAGGTACTGGAGTGTTGAAATGAACGAACAGGAATGATTGAACTAACAGTGAAATCAGTACAAGTACCTAACCCTAGAATTGCGTACCCCCTATAGGCTAACCCACTATAGCCTAAACAAGCACAACATATATAATGTTTGACACACCCCCATAGGCGAAGTGGGGGAGAACTAGGGGTCACAAGACCAGTCAAGTAAAGCAAAGCAAAGCAAGCTCAGGGTGGATCACAAAGTCACCACACATTCCGAGCACAAGTTCAAGGCCATAAGGCCAGTTCACATGCAGGAGTACATATATATATAAGGCTAGACAAGTAAGAGCAGGTATATATATATGTAACAGTACAAGCAAGGTCAAGAGGTGAGCAAGTGAGGCAAGACAGGTACAAGACCCAGCTGGGTGCAGAAGCGCTGATGATCACAAGGCGCAAGTGCCTTGGTGAAGACATCAGCAGTGTTGGCCTCAGAGGCCACGTACGCAAGCCGCAACTGACCACGCTGCTGTAGCTCACGAGCAAGGAAGTAGCGGAGAGCAATGTGCTTTGTTCTGTGCTCCATTCTCTGCTTTCAACACAAGGCCAGCATGGCCTTGTTGTCTACGTACAGCACTGGAGGAGAACTAGGCGGCTCTCCAAGGTCGGTCAGCAGGTAGGTGAGCCAGCGAAGCTCTTGAGCAGCCATGGCCCCTGCGTAGATCTCAGCCTCACAACTGGAGCCGAGAACAGAAAACGAGCGAGTAGCCCGCCACGAAACAGAGCCGGAGCCAAGGCTGAAGGTGTAGCCCTGTGACGACCGCTGCATAGCCTGGTCGTCAGCCCAAGAAGCGTCTGCGTGACCAGTGAGGACCACTGGACTCCGCCCTCCAAGCACTAGCCCCATGCCCGACGTACTGCACAAGTAGCGCAACACCCTCTTCGCTACAGCCATGTGCTCTGGTCGGTGTCTCCCAGGAGCAACATAGCATGCGAGAATGCTAAGAGGGTATGCAAGGTCAGGTCGTGTGCAGGTCATCAGGTACATGAGGCAGCCAACAAGCTCTGGGTACGGACCACTTGGCTCTACGGACTCATCCGAAGGCAGAGCTGAGAGCGAGTGGCGAGTAGACAGAGGAGTGGCCTGAGGCGAAGAGTACGTGAAGTCGAAGCGCTGAAGGACCTGCTGCACCATGTGTGACTGAGTCAGGGTAATGGTGTGCTGTGCTCTGTCCGGGATGATCTGCAAGCCAAGGTAGCTGCGCAGTTCACCCAGGTCTGTGCACGTGTGTCTCTTCTGCAGCTCGGACTTCACGTGGGCGAGTCCAGCAGTGTCAGCAGTGGCAAAGACCAAGTCGTCGACGTACACGAGGATGTAGAACGACGGCACAGAAGTGTCGGTGCGTAGAAACAGCGACGGGTCGGCAGTGTGTAGTCCCCAGTGTGTCGTGCCACTCACGGGGCGCCTAGCGGAGACTGTAGACTGGCCGCCGGAGGCTCCACTGGGTGCCAGGAGGAAAAGACACAGTGAAGCCAGGTGGGCAACGAAGCCAGATCTCCTCGTGCAGGCTGCCCTGCAAGAAAGCAGTGCTGAAGTCAAGAGAGTGCAGCTCGTAGTCGCGGTGAGCAGCTATGTGCAGCAGTACCCAAAGAGTGGTCATCTTCGGGGTGGGAGAGAAGGTCTGAAAGTAGTCAACTCTCTCCTGCTGACTGAAGCCACGAGCCACGTAACGCGCCTTGAAGACAGGCGGAGAACCCAGCGGCCGCTTCACCCTGAAACTCCACATGCCACTGACGATGTTCGCCCCAGGAGGGGGGACAGCGACAACGTAGGTGCCTGTTGACTTCCAGGAAGCCATCTCTGCATCCATAGCTGCCTGCCACTGAGAAGAGTAGGGACCCTCTATCGCCTCCGCGTACGAGCGCGGAGTCGGGATGTCAAGTGCATCCGAATCTCCCTCAGGGGTAAGCAGTACGGACATGAGATGAGGTGAAGCAACGGCCAAGCACTGGAACTCCTCCTGCCTATCCTCAAGGACGTCCGTGCCAAGGGCACACTCACCCTTGACGGATGGAGGACAGACAGACTCAGACTCAGCGACAAGACTAGCAGCGTAGTCTAGACGACAGCGAGCAGCAAAGTCGACGAGCTCAGCAACTAGGGCAGACGCAGCAGTGGACTCAAAAGAAGGGTCAGTGACGACAGTAGCAAGGAGACGCGTGACAGTAGGACAGGCAGCACGAAGAGAGTCCGACTCCGGGTCGGGAAGAGCAGGAAGAGAGGACTCAGGAGGAGAAGGCAAAGGGGCACGCAGAGGAGCAGTGGACGGACGCAGAGACATCCGGTGCATGCCAGGGACAGGAGGAGGACGCTGACGCGAACCGCAACCACTAGTGCGAGCAGTACGGACAGGCGACGCAGGGCGAGACGCAGGCTCACGACGCTCAGCAGGACCTTCAGTAGGACCAGTGTAGGGAGAAGGAGCAGGCAGTGGAGAGGCGGGCTGTAACTGTAACCGTGACTGGACAGGCTGTGGACACTCTAAGGGAGGAGGAGGACCGAGAGAAGGCGGGAGACCAAGAACCTGCTGAAGGAGCGGAACGAAGTACGGCCGCTACCGTGCAGCGACTCCAGAACCAGCAGAGACACCAGCGCCAGGGTCCTCCGCACCAGCAGCAGCTCCAACGCCCGACTCCACAGCACCAGCAGCAGCACCAGCTCCAGGGTCCTCAGCACCAGCAGCAGCTCCAACGCACGGGTCCTCTGTACCAGCAGCAGCTCCAACGCCCGGGTCCTCAGCACCAGCAGCAGCACCAGCGCCCGGGTCCGCAGCACCAGCCGTAGCTCCAACGCCCGGGTCTGCAGCACCAGAAACAGCTCCAACCTCTGGGGCCGCAGCACCAGCAAAACCAGTAGATTCTCCAGCACCAGTAGCACCACCAGCAGCAGCGGGGTCCGCGACACCAGGCGCGCCACTCCGAAGAGTGCAGCGCCGCTCGTACCACTCACGGATCCGCTCACGGGAGGGGAGCTCCCGGCTAGGAGGAGAAGCACTAGCACCAGTCCCAGTAGTACGCCTGGCTCCAGAGGTACCTCTCCTGAGGTTGCAGTACTGGAAGTACCACTCACGCAGCTGCTCCGAGGAGAGGGCTCCGCCAGGTGTAGGACCCTCAGGCTCAGGACCTCCAGACTCAGAACCCCCAGACTCCGGACTCTGCGTCTCAGCACCCCCAGGCTCAGTACTCCCAGGCTCAGCACCCCCAGGCTCTGCACCCCAAGGCTCAGCACCCCCAGGCTCCGCATCCCCAGGCTCCGCACCCCCAGGCTCCGCACCCCCAGGCTCA